GGCAAATAGAAATATTCAGAATAAAAAATACTATTCAATGACAACAGAAAAAAAGGGTTGCAATGAAAGTGGTAAGGGAAAAAGAAGAGAGGAAAACGATGTGAAGAAAGGGAGCAATAGATAAGAGCTACTCAGAGTGGCCCTTTTATCTATTGCTTTCTGAGTGGCTCTTTTATCTATTGCTTTCAGAGCGACTCTTTTATCTATTGCTTTCAGAGTGGCTCTTATCTATTGCTCCCTTTCTTCAAAACTCAGGAGACAGTCCGCCGCTGTGGGCAGCAGTGAGGGCTGAATCAGTTAACCCTATCCGTACGCCCTGGGGTCATTTTGTACCCCCGGGGTTGTATTCCTCACATTTTAGAATACTTATAGAGCGAAGATCTCTTTGAAATTTTCTGTATTTCTCAAAAAATCATTTTGACAGACTGCTATGTAAAGCGTATGGATCGGATTAACGAGTAAATTTCCTCTTTGGAAAGTGGTGGCACAGAGTTCCCCACGTCGTATGGAAACGATAGTAAAACAAGACGTACGGATAGGGTTAAATATGAAAAAAACAAAACACGAGTGAGTTCTCAGCTCTTGCCATGTTCCTGACTGATCTGTCACTGAGAAACGTCTTGAGAAACGTCACGGGCTACGTACGACAGAGGAGAAAGCAGACTAAAAGAAAAGTCGAAGAAAAAACAACGACAAACACCATCTTTGCCCACATGAGATTCAGTACCCGGGAAGTGGCGAGAGTGGCATGTCTCATTTCTTCATACATCTGGCTTGAGCGTGAAGCTCGTACGCATCCATTCGCCTTGAACCGGTCGCATGGCAAGACAAGAAGTTAGTGATTAAGTGAAAAAGTATTTATATGACCAGTCAGCGATATATATATACATACTCACAGACTACGTACGTTTGAGATCTATATAAGGTGAACACACGTACAAACACACAGATGAACACATTATGGCATTGTACACAGATGAAGGGGCGTGTGAAACTTATATATATATAAACTTATACATATATATATATATATATATCTATATCTCGGTGGCTGATACATATAAAGTGATGAGTCAGCGATATAGCTCAAAACTGAGCGGTTCCACCTGAACTATTGACCAGAGGGCAGGTTCCTGGATTGGGAACTTTGACAGTCAGAATCTTGAATCCTAGATATACGTAATGAATTTTATATATATATAGCTTCATGAAAAAAATACATGGCCAAATTTTCAAGTACAAAAACAAACACATTCTATTCCATATATATTAGACATTTTTTTACATTTTCAAAGCAAGACATCAAAATATACTTGTTTTAGTAGAGGTTTTACGGCGCTCGCAACTGCATAAGGTCATATGAGCGCCAGAAGATTAGAGGTGTTACAAGAGAGTAACAAACATAAAAAAGAAGAAGGGGAGATAAGGACGATAGATGTTTGATAGGAAAGAAGAAGCAGACCACACCAGAGCACCCGCCAACCACCCGCTCAAAATATATACATGATGGAATTTCCTAAACAGATGAGATATTGGGTTAAACATTAATTCCACAACACGCATAAACACACGTGCACCACCATCTAAAATCACTCACAAAATCCTTCACAATATAAAATTTAACCCTCCTTCTTTATTCTGTCGAAGTTTGGCATTATTTTTTTTTTTAAGCTGTGCCGATACTTTCAGAGAATTCAGATGTTACGTTTATACACAAGATTACATGCCTGGGTAGGCTCAACAAAAAGGTAAATCATTATATCAGAAATGAAACAATAAAAAATGAGTCTTATGGTGAGGAAGAATTAACTCAACACTTCAAGGACATGATTGATATATTCAAAAAATGTCGAACCACACACAAGAACACAACTGTGATCGGAGAGAATAGTCCCCTGAAAAAATTATTATGGGATAACGTACGCGCAGATAGTAAGTAATGAATCCATAAATAGTGGTAACTATAAATAACTCACGAGCTTAGCTCTGCGTCCGCTCCCTCGAGTAAGTCTGCCTTGCTGGGTAACCGACCTGTGTTGGGGGGGGGGGGGGGGGGGGGGGGTGGAAGGATAACCGGATAACCATATTATTGTTTTTGTGGCTAATGTTTTCATCGTCAGCTGTGACTGTCATTGCTGATGTTGTTGTTTTCCTGTACCAATTATTGTTGCTGCTGCTGTTGTTGCTGATTCTACTGTTATTTTTTTTCTTGTTGTTCTTGTTTTTGCGGCTGTTGTTTTCATCGTGAGTGTTCTGGTTGTTGCTGTTGTTGTCATTGCTGTTGGCCTTGCAGTCCTGTAATTATTGTAGCTGCTGTTGTTGTTGTTGATTCTTCTGTTGTTGTTGTTGTTGTCGTTAATGTTGTTGTTTTCGTTTATGTTGTTATTCCTGTTCTTGTTGTTTTTGGGTTTTTTGTTTATGTTGTTATTACTGTTGTTGTTTTGTTTATGTTGTTATTACTGTTGTGGTTGTTGTTGTTGTTGTTGTTGTTTTTGTTGTTATGACTGTTATAGTTGAGGAGTTGTTGTCACTGTGTTTAAGAGTAGCATTCAAAATTTCTAAAAGCATATGTGGAAAGGCAGAAAGAAAAAGAAATGGAAGAACATGCTCGCTAGGTGTGTCTTTTGCAAGATGTACAGTAGAACGTGCTGCGACGGCCACCCGTCCTAGACAATTACCTGTACAAACGACCACTTCCCACTCCCCTCTTGCATTTTTTTCTACATCATAATGACATTGTTCAAGACATCCACCTGTCTAAGACAACCACTTTTCCCCTCGACAATGGGTGGCTGTCTTGGACAATTTCAACTGTACTTGCACAACAAAGGTACACAAGACAATAGTCACACACAGCGACAACTGAAGAGTTTGAAACATGAAATGCGAGGCGAGCTGACAAAATGAGTTACTTCTCGCAATCCACAAATGGCATTATATTTGGCCAAAAATCGACACTATATAGGGTGAAATTTGTAGATTTTCTATTCATGCCATATTCTTTAGCTATGACTATATCATGCCTTTTATTATTTTGTACTTATAAATTGTAAAAACGTCACCTATAGTAGGCCTAAGCGTGATGTATCTATTTCCATAAGGCTAAAATACGATAAGTAACTCATTTTGTCAGCTCACCTCGTAAATCATTATAGGCGTAGGACAGATATGCAACAAAGCTAATTTTTTTTCTCCATGATATATCGTCTCGTCTAATAATAATAAAGACCAAAAGTCTACTTTTATAGTGCCAGCTCCCTGGTAATGCTGTAGGTCCTTCACAATTAAATAAAATTTCAAGGGCTTACATAATTAGACGTTTCGTTTTTAGTTTAGTTTTAGTAAGAGTTTTACGGCACTAGCAACACAATAAAGTTATATAAGTGCCGAAGATTAGAGGAGTTACAAGAGAGTAACAAACACAAAAAAGAAGGAGGGGAGATAAAGACGATAGATGTTTGATAGGAAAGAAGAAGCAAACCACACCAGAGCACCCGCTAACCACCCACCAGACGTTTAGTGCATACCCAACCATTCATGCACCCATAACATACCAAGCTCTGACAAAAAAAACACCTACTACACAAACAGCCAATCGCTGCGGCTGCTAATCACACTTGTTGGAAAGAGATTCAAATATTAGCTCAAAATAAGATTCATATATAAATATGTGTCTTTTTTAGACTCATTGTAAACAGAGTCAACATAGATGCCTCACATTAGCTCGAAATAAGATTAATATAAATGTGACTTTGGACTAATTTTAAACGCAGTCAACGTAGGAGCCTCTCTTAACTCTTCCCACCCACACGTCTCAATTCTTACCTATGTGAGCGTTTATGGAGTCCGACTTTGCTATGGACATCAGGAACTCGTAGAAGGAAATCCGCGGCAGATTGAAGAGAATCTCCTTCAGTGAGCTGAGTGGTGGGGTGCTGTGGGGGTCAAGAAAAACACACAAAAAATTTATAATGGTTGGAAGAGAATCTGCCTCCTTTTTTTTTTAGTAGAGGCTTTACAGCGCTCGCAACTGCATAAGGTCATAAGAGTGCCAAATGATTAGAGGTGTTACAAGAGAGTAACAAACATAAAAAAGAAGAAGGGGAGAAAAGGACGATAAATGTTTGATAGGAAAGAAGAAGCAAACCACACCAAAGCACCCGCCAACTGCCCACGAATCTGTCTCAGTGAGTGGTGACGACAACAACAACAACAACAACAACAACAACAACAATAATAACAACACTATGACAACTGGTAACATCTTCTTCATGTATGTGTCCAACACATCGGAGTCCCAGACATGGAACCAACGGACGCAAAATATCAGCTGATACTGCTCTTCTTCAGCAAGGAAACTGCAGAGCTTCGTAAACAGATGCCTACGAAGGATAGTGGGGATCAAGTGGTACAATCGAGTCACAAATGCTCAACTGTGGGAGAGAACAAGCCAAAGGCCAGTAAAGGAAGGCATACAGGTGAAGAAAAGGAAATGGATGGGACACACCCTGAGGAGACCCTCGACAAGCATCATCAGACGGGCTTTAACGTGGAACCCACAAGGAAAACGTAAGAAGGGAAGACCAAAAATGACATGGAGGCGAGCGGTACAAGCGAAAATGGAAAAGGCAGGGACATCACGGAAACAGCTAGAAAAGGATGCTCAGGACAGACTTCGATGGAGTAATGAGTAACGTTGTTGATGGCCTGTGCTCCACTGTGAGTTAAAAAGGGCAAGAGAGAGAGAGACTGCTCTTCTTGGAGAACACAGAGAGGCACTACAGAAACATTACTGACTTTGTTACCCCCTAAATGCACTGGATACACACACACACACACACACACACACACATACACACACACACACATACACACACACACACATACACACACACACATACACACATACACATACATACACACACACACAGAACATACATACACACACACACATACACA